ATCAACCAGTTTGCTGCTGACAACCAAAACCAGCTGATCACATGCTCAAGAAGGACCATCAGCCTAACAATGGATCATTAGCACACTGATGGCTGTTTACTACTCACAGAGGGCTGAGTGATACTAGCAATCACAGCATTGTAAGAGGGGGACAGTTGAACCCGGAGGCCTCCACCCCTGTTTAACGATGGACGATTTCTTTTCACAAAGATGGCCTCCTTTACTCCTCTCTCAAACCATCGTTCCTCTCTGTCCAGGATGTGAACATCTTCATCCTTGAAAGAGTGACCGCTGGCCTGGAGATGAGTGTAGACCGCAGAGTCCTGGCCTGATGATGTTGATCTTCTGTGCTGGGCCATCCTTTTGGCCAGTGGCTGTTTAGTTTCCCCGATGTAAGACTGATCACAGCCCTCCTGACACTGAACAGCATACACAACATTGCTCTGTTTGTGCCGGGGGACTGGATCTTTGGGATGAACCAGTCTTTGCCGTAATGTATTTTGGGGTTTAAAAGTCACTGGGACGTTATGTTTAGAAAATAAATGTCTCATTTTCTCTGATACCCCCTCAACATACGGAATGACCACTGGTCTGGGTCTGGGTTCCTCCTTTTCACCTGTTGGCTGACTGGAGTCCTGTTTGGGTTTCTTCTCTGCTTCCAGGAAGGCCCAGTTAGGATATCCACATTGCTCTAGAGCCTGTTTTGTGTAGGATTTCTCCTTCTGCATGGCTCCCAAGCTAGACAGCATCCCCACTAGCTTGGGAGCCATGCAGAAGGAGAAATCCTACACAAAACAGGCTCTAGAGCAAGACGAAGGCTTATTCCCAAGGTCAGCCTGTTAGCTTAGCTAGTAACTTAGCTTCTCAGCTTAGTTGCTTTTAACGATCCAATAACACGTTTTTGGACGGTTAAAACAGATTTTAAAGAGAAAAAAGAAAGGGAGGGGTCAGTGAAGAGCACCGTAGTTGAGCCTTTTGTCATCCAGTGTCTTCAGTAGAAAGAGAGAGACACAAAGAAATGATTAAGCCAGTAAATGAAAATGAGGTTGATAATTCTCATTCGTCATGTGATTAATTGATTTATTGTTTATCTTGATAGGCCTACTGTCAGTGTCTATGAAGAGCACTTCTGTTTTGTTGAGCGAGTTTGCTGTTGTTTTTACTATTTGAAGTGTTTTTTTGGTTTGTATTTGTTTTGTTGATTGTAGGATTTTGCTTCTGTTATTGCAGCATTTTTTTGTTTGTAGCGTATTTCTGTTGCATTTGTTTTTTGTGTTTGCATGTTTTGAATTTTGCGTCATACAGCTTGTTTGCAGCTCGTTTCGCTGTTTGCATCATACATGTGTTCGAAGCACATGTGCACCTGTCGGCCTCCGTACATATTATATTTTGTTTGCATTTGTTGATTATCTCATGCTGCTGTATTCATTCATACCTATCTGCTCACCAAAGACTCATGTTCGAGGTGCTGTTGTTACGGCATACTGTTTTACATTTTTAGTGTTCAGTGTATATCTTAGATATTTTAGCGTACCATTTGGTGTATATCTTAGATTCTTATTTACTGTTTCGTTTTACTTTTTTTTTGTTGCTATTTTTGGGTGTAACTGGGACCCTGTGTACATAATTTCATTCCTCCTCATGTACCACATGTGGTGGAAATGACAATAAGGTTGACTTGGACTCTATATTCAGTCTCGTTTGTTTAATTTCAGTTTTTGTTTTTCTGTTCCAGGATTAGAACTAAGGTGGTGACACAAAGTATTGTGTTTGTTCCCATGTGTTGTGTGCTGTGTGTGCTGGGACCCTCCCATGGTTAGTGTGCCCTCAAAGCTTTTGGGTGAATTTTCTGTTTTGTGTTTTTGGAACCACCCATAAATTTGATAGTGTACTTTGAAATATGGTTTCATGCTTACTCTGTAAATAAGCACAAGTACCTTTTTTAGTATCAAATTATTTTCTTCCATTTTTAATCAAAGAGTGATAAACTTAGCAATTAAAGTAGTTTATTAAAGAAATCAAGACACTGTTAACAATTTTTGGAGAAAAAAAAAGACACTCTCACAACTTAAGCATTTATTACCAAGTGTTTCTGTACAGAAGTTATAAAATGGTTTTAAAAAGTTTAATCTGACTTAACATAAATAATGATTAATAAAAACATGGTTTAGTCTATGGACTGCAAATGTTATCACAGTCATCAGTCGAGATCACTGAATTCTACCTACCAAAACTTTAAAGTATTTGTTTAAAAAGCTCCATCACCTCACAGTTGCATATGCAATACAGTAAGTTTGCATTTCTAGAATACAGAAATAAACTATAACCATAAAAATAACTAAAAAATTAAAACCAAATATGATCAGTTTACAAAATGCAGTATGGAACATAATCAAACAACCTACTTTTTTAATAATGAAAGAATGATTTACATCACAATATTGGGTTAATTCAACAGAAATGACAGTGAAGCATATTTATCATGATCATAGCCTTTCTTCAAATTTGATAGCTTTGATGCGTCTTAAAGAAATACTGTGCATTTAATACAATTATATTGTTCCAAATTAAATGTCAAGGGGCCTAAAAGTAAAACAAAATCTAATATTACCAAAGATTTTATGATCAAATACAAGTTAAAGTGTTTTTATTGTTGAGAGAACATATTTGTAGATTTTTAACATTTTATTGCAAGCAGACTGGTCTTCCATACAATCTTTAACAATAGCTTCCCTCAGTTGTATTTATACAGATTGTTATGTGTATCTTTTATCACAAACCAATCACATTTCTACTTTTTATTACCCCTCAAAAAATTTAACAAAGAAGGAGCAGACTGAGTGCCATCCCTCGCTACAGTAAGTTTGCACTGGCGGCATGTCATTCACCATTCCTTCATCCTCAGAATCAAGCCTCTCTTCCCTCTTCTTCTTCTCCTCATCAATCTTTTCTTTCTTCTTTCTCTTCTCTACCTTCCCCCCATCTGAGATTTTCCCACCATCTACACTTTTTTTCCCTCCTTCTTTTCCTCCATTCCTTTTCTCTCCATTGCACTGGGCCAGCTTCATGTGGGCCTCAGCAGGAGCCTTCTTACATGTTTTGGCCTTCAGGACTTTTTCTCCTTCACAGGCATTCTCCCTTTTCTTCAGCTTTCCTACCAGCTGCTTCCAGTACTGGCTGGATTTCACCCCATAGGCCTGGCAGAGGTCTGGCTTACCAGCGTAACAACACAAATATCTGTAGGAGAAGCAAAAACAAGAGTGAACAAAAAATGAGAGTTTAAAAAAAAAAGTGGGACAAAGATGAAAACAATACAAATTCCACCGCAGTGGGAGTTGGCAAAAACATCTGCAACAGATGTGAATTTAAGAGTGTAAAAAAACAAATTGTTACTTATATTTTTGTAACCTATCTCTCTTGTTTGGAAAGATTGCAGAAGAAAAAAAAAAACTTTGTCTAAAAAGAACATGGCAAACTTTGTTTTTTAAAGTTTCATTTAAATAATCATGAGGCTTATGTAACAATGTCCTTTAAAATAGATCAGATCAAAGTAAACATGCTTACCCATAATGCACAGCACCATGTTTGAAAAAACAAACACAAAATGTCAGCACAAACAGCCCAAAGCACAGTCATAGAGGGCAAATGGTTTGATCTTGTTTTGCAGCCACAGAACCCTGGGCCTCTTGCAATCACTGAGTCAACCATGAACTCTACCAAAGCATTCTAGAGTCAAATGTGAGGTCATCTGTCTGACGCTCGAGCCAGACTGGGGCATGATGCAACACAACATTGATACAAACCACAGCAACTAATCTACAACAGAACACCTGAAAAACACAGAAATCCAAGTGTTTCTACAGACCAGTCAGAGTCCAGTCCTCAATCTGATTGAAATGCTGGGATAGGACCTTAAGACAGCTGAGAAGAAACAAATATATATATATATACATTTTTTTCATTTACCCAGGTAGTCTCATTGAGCCATGAGAACTCATTTTCAAGAGAGACCTGTTTAGGGAGCAGATGGAGGTTAAGGACCTTGCTCATGGGCCCAGAGTGGGGCGAATGAGGGTGCTTCATCTACCCCACCCACATTTTTGATGTTGTCTGTACCGGGGTGTGAACTGGCGATCTTCCGATCACAGGCCCACTTTCTCTAACCTCTGCGCCACCACTCCCCATATCTGCTAACCTTAATGAAATGAAGCAATATTGTAAAAATGAATATGACAAAATTACTCCAAATGTGAGAATCTATGTCTATCTTGTGTTCTTTATAGATTTTTGTGTTTTCTTGTATCTTATGTTCTGCCTTCCCCAGTGTTTTCTTCTTTCAAGTTCCCAGCTTCTGCTTCACCTGCTCCCAATCCCAATCACCTCAGGTGTTCATCATAGTGTCTTGTTAGTGTCCCTTTAAGTTCAGCATCTTTGTGTTTTCTCTTGGTCGGTGTATTGCGCTTCCCACAACCGTTCATGCTCCGTTCCTCCGTGTCTCCTCGTGATCACTATTCATGTGTTTTGCTTACACATCAACCTTTGTTTTGTGTCTTGTAGGTATTTATTAAAGGCTTCTTTATTTTATCTTTGCATTGCCTGCTACTGTCTGCAACCTGGCTTTGACTCAAACATCAGATCATGGGACCACACTTATGCCAGAGACTGGCAACTTCCTACAGAAAACTACAGCAGAGTTATTGCTGCTATTAAAGGGTCTACAAGCTGTTGGATCATCAGGTGGACTTTTCACCCCATGCAAAAGTCATTATTAGGAGCTGAACAAATTTTAGCCTTTTTTATAGAACGATTCATACTAAAATGAATACAAATTAACAAAAAGAAAACTTGTCTGCTTTAAACTGTGTCAGAAAAAAAATATTGCGTTAGTGTTAGGTAAAAAAAAAAAAAGAAGAAAAACTTCAAATCCATATTGGAACCACATTGCCAGAAATGTTATATTGCATCACATTTCTGCAATTTTTGTGAAGAATTAGACAAATAACATGCAAACATGTATATATATATACAGTAGTCCCTCGTTTATCGCAGGGGATCAGTACCTTGAAGCTCTGCGATAAGTGAAAAACTGAAAAATAAGAATAGTAATACAAATAGTAAGTCGTGTGTGTATATACAGTGCCTTGCGAAAGTATTCGGCCCCCATGAACTTTTCAACCTTTTGCCACATTTCAGGCTTAAATATATAAAATTTAAATTTTTTGTGAAGAATCAACAACAAGTGGGACACAATTGTGAAGTGGAAAGAAATTTATTGGATGTGTCAAACTTTTTTAACAAATAAAAAACTGAAAAGTGGGGCGTGCAATATTATTCGGCCCCTTTACTTTCAGTGCAGCAAACTCACTCCAGAAGTTCAATGAGAATCTAGGAATGATCCAATGTTGTCCCAAATGACTGATGATGATAAATAGAATCCACCTGTGTGTAATCAAGTCTCCGTATAAATGCACCTGCTCTGTGATAGTCTCAGGGTTCTGTTCAAAGTGCAGAGAGCATCATGAAGACCAAGGAACACACCAGGCAATTCCGAGATACTGTTGTGGTGAAGTTTAAAGCCGGATTTGGATACAAAACGATTCCCCAAGCTTTAAACATCCCAAGGAGCAATGTGCAAGCAATCATATTGAAATGGAAGGAGTATCAGACCACTGCAAATCCACCAAAACCCGGCCGTCCCTCTAAACTTTCATCTTGAACAAGGTGAAGACTGATCAGAGATGCAGCCAAGAGGCCCATGATACCTCTGGATGAACTGCAGAGATCTACAGCTGAGGTGGGAGAGTCTGTACATAGGACAACAATCAGTCGTACACTGCACAAATCTGGCCTTTATGGAAGAGTGGCAAGAAGAAATCCATTTCTCAAAGATATCCATAAAAAGTGTTGTTTAAAGTTTGTCACAAGCACCTGGGAGACACAACAAACGTGGAAGAAGGTGCTCTGGTCAGATGAAATCAAAATAGAACTGTTTGGCCACAATGCAAAACGATATGTTTGGCGTAAAAGCAACACAGCTCATTACCCTGAACACACCATCCCCACTGTCAAACATGATGGTGGCAGCATCATGGTTTGGGTCTGCTTTTCGTCAGCAGGGACAGGGAAGATGGTCAGAATTGATGGGAAGATGGATGGGGCCAAATACAGGACTATTCTGGAAGAAAACCTGTTTGAGTCTGCAAGAGACCTGAGACTGGGACGGAGATTTGTCTTCCAACAAGACAATGATCCAAAACATGAAACCAAATCTACAATGGAATGGTTCACAAATAAACATATCCAGGTGTTGGAATGGCCAAGTCAAATTCCAGACCTGAATCCAATCAAGAATCTGTGGAAAGAGCTGAAGACTGCTGTTCACAAACGCTCTCCATCCAACCTCACTGAGCTCGAGCTGTTTTTCAAGGAAGAATGGGCAAGAATGTCAGTCTCTCAATGAGCAAAACTGATAGAGACATACTCCAAGCGACTTGCAGCTGGAATTGCAGCAAAAGGCAGCGCTACAAAGTATTAACGCAAGGGGGCCGAATAATATTGCACACCCCACTTTTCAGTTTTTTATTTGTTAAAAAAGTTTGACACATCCAATAAATTTCATTCCACTTCTCGATTGTGTCCCACTTGTTGTTGATTCTTCACAAAAAATTTAAATTT